CATATGCTGTTTGGATTCGATTGTTATTTATAATGAGCATGGGAAATCTTTATATCGGTTTGAAGAGAATGTCACCTTGTGATTTTTCCATTTTGATGAAGTTGGGGAATATTTCAAATGATAGCCGAGATACGATTTTGAATAGGGTGGGATACTTAAACTGTCTGGGAATGATGGCAAGAGATATAACAATTTTTCGTCGTGTACGTTAGTCTTTTCGAATAATTCAATCGTGATGTTTTTGTGATGGTTTCGTCACGTTTTGACGCATGCGTAATATGTCTCCTCTTAATTATACATCATCTGCAAAACGCCTCACGTGTTAAGTGATATCTATCAAGTGTCATCTATCTAGCATCATTTGTGAAGATGTCGTAAAGAAAGTAAAGTATTCTATTCGCGCATCTATTGTCGGTATTATTAAGACGTTTCAATACTAGCTTCATGAAAGATAACATGAAAATATAGGTTATTCACGGTTCTCCATTCTTTATTGATATCTCGCAAACATTGAAACTCTGCGCATATCATCCTCAGCCTCAGGAGTACTATTCATTTTCAATGGTGGGATGTATTTTTTCTTGATTGTTGGATCTGTCACAGATCGTCGGTAGCCATATTGTTTTCAGATAGTGCAGTCGAGAACCTATGCCTTGTTATAATGTAAAGTCATACGTCTCTCAAATATTTCATCTGATTCAGTTTTTTAATCGTCCTGTATATTATATTTTTCCTCGTGGTGGTTCATATATTGTTGCATGTATAGATTATCAACGTTTAATTGTTATCAGGTTTCCTGTTGACTATCAAGTTTCTATTTCTATATTTGTTCAGTCATATCGTGGACGTTATGTGACATTTCTCGTCGATTAAATGGTGTTGTTTTTCAAAAATGCCGTTTGTGTGTGAATTATTTGTGATGGTAGTGATGTGTGCTTTTAAAGAATCATGTATGGAAATGGGATGATGGCGGTTTTTTGTTATACCTGAATTGTCTTCTCGCTATTTTCATTCATTATTCAGATTTTCATCGAATCTTAGCCTGCTGAGGTGAAAAAAAGCTAAAGGTAAATGCTTTATAACCACATTTTTTATATACTGGGCTGTATTGGCATAAGCGTGAAAATTTCGACACTCGAGACGTTTATACTATCGAATGACATATAGGTGAGGCGAGACCAATTTTACACCTATATAGTTTCACTCTGTAACACTCCTATAACGTTCCATCTACATGAATTTTTCTGTGCTGAGTTCGATTGTTTAGATTGTTTTTATTCAATTTTCGGGGATGCAATTTCCTGTTGATTCGAGGAATTTGAAGATATCTGATATGAGAATATTATATTTCGATGTGCTGAATACATATACCTGATTATTTCAAAAACACCTCGTATAGTTGAAACATATATTTCTGCAGTTATGACCAAGTAAACGTTTCACGATCTATCAGGTCACGTGACTGAATACTGAGGAATATTGTAGGAATTTGATGAGAATTGGCCTACAATATATGAGATTTCTATGTGACAGAATTTTTTTAGGTCTGATCGGGTATGCTTTCATATTAGATCACCCGAAACATGATACCTATTTCGCTTCCTGCGGATTACATCCCATCGCACTAAACGCTATCCCCTTGTTCCTCTGACTCTTAGATTACCAGTTTTGGTAGAGAGTTGTTCGACATATTTCATGAACCAACCAGAATACCTCCTATGGTGAAACACTGAGCTGTAATATGAGTTTCAGGTGTAAATAGTTGTTCGATATATTCCAAGGTGGACGGTGAAAAGGTGTTCTTTTCTAGTTGTTTGATGCAGAATGTTTAGCATTATCAGTCTAGTATACTTATTTGGAGCTTTCCAGATACCTACGATATCATTTTCATTGCTACCTCTGAGTATGATGATATCTAGAGAATTTTCGGACTTTGCATATAGATGAAGAATCTTTCTTGTAGAGTAGTTGACAGTTATATCTTTTTCTGCGTGAAGGCTGCCATGTTCATATTCTCTGTATAATCGCTAATCCCTAACGTCCCAAGCCTCTACTGCCCCCCCTTACATTTCGAGTTCTGGTTAAGAGATGATTGATATATTCCGTGGGTTCGTTCTTTAGTGAAGTTGTTGAATGAGTTCTGGTAAAGAGTTTATCGATAGGTATATTCTAAGGTGGATGGTGAATGGGTGTTATTTCTTCGTTATTTGATGCAGAATGTTTAGCATTATCATTTTTTCATTCTGTCTGTCAGTATAATGATAGTGATTGCGTCACGATAATTTCCCATTGATTTTGCTGATATATAGAGAATTTTCAGACCTATTATAGGTATAATAAGAATCGTTCTTGTAGAGTGGTTGACAGCAATATGTTTTTTCTGTCTGAATGCTGCTTCTTTGGGAAAGCACAGATCTTGTTGACGAGTTTTGGTTAAGACTTGTTCGAAATATTTGTCTAATATCTGTTTGCTTGGACAGTTTTTGCAGCGAGTTCCTCTTCATATTTTTTCATTGCTATTCAACTCAAACGCTCTGTATATTGATCGGAATCATCAGCTAACGCGTGTATTCTGTGACGTTTTCGTGACACTTCCATGACACTTCCATGACACATCCGTGACACTTCCATGTTCCGTGACACTTCCTTGACACTTCCGTGACACTTCCTTGACACTTCCTTGGCACTTCCGTGACAGTTCCGTGGCACTTCCATGACAGTTCTGTGACAGTTCTGCAACATTTCTGTGGCATTTCGGTGGTGTTTCCGTGACAATTCCCTCTAAACCGTACATTACGAGTATTGTTCATGATTTGTTTGACGGACTAGCCAGAATACTTCCTTTAGTGTAGCACAGAGCAGTTTCATGAGTTTTGGTTAGGAGCTGCTCTACATATTTGTCTAATATATGCTAGGCATGTCTGAAGTAGGTAGTCCTTGCAGCGAGTTTTCCTGTATATTCTCTCATTGTCGCCCTGTATATTGATCTAAATCATCAGTCAGCGCGTCATCTGTCATACCTTGCCTGTTCAATATGTTTGCTGGGTTTATCTGAATTGATCAGTTCTTGCAGCGAGTTTCCTTGTATATATTTTTATTCAAACGCACTGTATATTGAACGTATGCAGCAGCAAGCTGGTAGTTGACGTAGCCTGGTCACGTGTCATCGATCGTTGTTATCTGTCGATGGCCATCTGTCAAATGTCAAATGTCATATGTCGATTATCATACGTCAGCTGTCCGATTCATTTTCAACACATAAATGGGGTGGTCTAACCATGGGCCACCCTGTATATATTTTTTTTTCAATCTTCATCAACTCAAACACCCTGTATATATTTCTATCAACACTTCTTCTATGCTAAAACATGGGACCGCGAACCGTGGGACACTCTGTATATATTTTTTTTTCAATTTTCAATCAACTCAAACGCCCTGTATATGAAAATTCAATCTTGTTATTGTCATTAAAGTGTTATTGTTGCGGTTTCGATAAGCTCGCGCCAGCGCTACCCCGCTTCCCCGCTAGAACACAGTTATTTCCATCACATACCTAACTGAACGTTTCCACACACATTTCAAATGATATCTCATAAACTTTGAGACTTTGCATATGGACGAACCATTATTTTCGAAGTGTCCATTAAAAATTCTTCTCTTACAGTACCCGCACCCTCATCAACCCTCTGATACCCCAAAGTGGGGTAGTATTACTGCGGATCACCCTGTATATATGTATCGACTAATATACAACTCAAACACCCTATATATTAGATTGAATCATTAGCTAGCGGGTAGCCTATATGCTGGTAGTCTACTCGTCGAGGAGGTATAACACCTTTTGGGTTCACTCTATATATTTTTTCCCCAACTATTAGCCAACTCAAACACCCTGTATATCGACTCAGCTATTGGCTGAAAAATGTAATGAAATGCGCACCGTTATCTCTGGAACGGATCTCTCGCTTTGCTCGCCGATGATGACGACCCGTTCGCTAGGCCGCGAGTAGCTAGCCGAGTCAGGCCGGCCTGTGATTGGTCAGCCGAGTCACGTGGTTTGGAGAAAAGTGGAGGGGAGGGGCTGGACTATACTCTCCCGACTCCTACTATGGTAGTTTGTGGAGGAGTTCTTCGTGCCAAACACGGTCGAATGCTTTCGATATGTCCAACGCGACAGCTAGAGATTCCCCGTGGTTTTCTATTGAAGATTGCCATAAATGGGTGACGTAGGCAAGTAGATCTCCAGTAGATCTTCGGTGGCGAAAGCCATATTGTCTATCATTGATGATTCCTGAGCTCTCCAGATATTTGATAAGCTCAATATTGATGGCTTTCTCCATCACTTTGGAGATTACTGATAACAGGGCAATGGGCCTGTAGTTGTTGGGCAGGTTCTTGTTCCCTTTTTTGGGGATTGGTTGGACTCTAGCTGTCTTCCAGCATGATAGAAAAATACCCGACCCTGTATATTTTACTTATTCAAGTTCAACAGGTCAAAACAAATGCAATGTTCATGTCATAATGACATATTTTTTCGAAAAACTTCAAATTATTGGAACAACAAGGAAATTCATGAATGTAAACAATTTGTTACTGCACCGAAATACAAAAATGATATGCAATTTTTTCATTAATAGATGTTCTAGAGGGACTGTAGGTAGCTCATTTGAAAAAAATGAATGAATGAAAAAATATGTTTCTTTGTTATGTGAGGTTCATTGTAAATAGTCTTGACCACAGCTCATTTATCCACAATGTGGAATAAAATTAATTGAAAGTAAAAAAATACTCAAAAAAAGTTTTCATTTAAACGCTCTCAAAAGATGAAAATGAAAATTGTCATTATCAACTTGAAATATCATTATACACAATTTATATGATCATTGAAGCTTGTCGCGCGATTTCCTTGTGTAAATAAACTATTACTATTTTAATTATGTAAAATCTGCTAAGTTAAAAATCCATGAATGAAACCATTTCTATCATAAAAACTCAATTTATTACACAGGACAACTATAAACATTAACACCCTTATCTTCTGATACAGAAATGATCTTATTATTATCAGGATTATATTTAACGCCCCAAACCTGAAACAAAACAAGAGTCAGAAGTTATGACATCGGATCAGAATCATATAGCCGCTCACCTGATCAGTATGCTCTTTGAATGTATGCACACACTGTTTAGTAGCAACATCCCATACTTTGACAGTCTTATCAGAACTACCGGAAACAAAGTTCTTTCCATCAGGAGAAAATGCCACACTGACGACCCACGATGCATGACCAGATAGTGTCTCGATCATTTCAGTATTCTGACTAGAATGAAAGTTCATATTTAATTATAAAATATATCAGGGAAACCATTAGATCTTCTCAAAGCAGCACAATTATTTTGTTTTATAAAAAAATAAACACAACACGAAGTCGGTCGACCACAAAATTATATCAAACTGAATAAGGAAATGAACAAGTCACAGGGGGCTAATTATAGGTAGGAAGACATTTGAAGAATTAGGAAAATTCTTTCAATTTCCGATATGAAAATGGTTTCTATTTAATAGTATTTATACTCACACATCATATAATTTCATATGCCCATCATCAGATGCTGTCAGTAGTAACTGCGAGTCAGGTGAGAAGCAAAGAGATCGAATTGGCATAGCATGACCCTCCAAAGTTTGCCATAACTTATTGGAATGTACGTCGAAAACATTAATGATTCCATCAATGGCTCCACTTGCTATATATCGGCCATCTGGACTCTGTAACAGTTATTTTTCTAATTTGACACTTCAAAACTGACGAAAGATTTGAGACTTCTTACTATACGTAAATATTTGCGTAAAGTAAAATATTACATAACTGATGATAAAAAGTATTGATGGATGGACGAAGAGGATAGTGCATTGTGCTGCTTCCTCGATATCACTTGGGAAATCTGAACTCGTATCAGCCATCTTCCACTAATGTAAATATAAAACGGGTCTATTCCGTGAATTTCGTCACTAATTTTTGACCATATTATTGTTTGACGGATACTTTAAGTGACAGGCGAAGTCAACTTTCCATCTAATTTTGATCGGTACAGCTAATACTATTGGTCATTATTTCTGTTCTAGCGAAATTTTTCATCAAAAGCTGGCTACATGACTTGCAACATGACTCGGTGCAAGCAATATTTTACCTGGAAAAGGTACGATTGTTGACGGCGAAGCAAAAGACCGACCGTCAGAAGACAGAAGATTAATGCGTAGGCGGGCGATCAAAAGTGTGAATAGGCTGAAAATTTGCACAGGTATCGAGGAGCATTAGAAAAAGCAGGAAAAAAATCAGAAGCGCAAGTGGAATATAAAGGGTTGTAAGAAGCTGTCTCAATATAATAAACAACATTCTTGAAACAATATCTGGACGCCACTTATTTTTAATCAACTAGTATATAACTATACTGAACAACTATACAACATACAATCTTTCAAAATGAGTTTTGTTTCAATTTACCCCACAGTTCCAATTATCCCGATTCCGCGGTATTTCTGCATTTTGCAAAGCGGGTAATCAAAGCAAAAGTATAAGCAAGTATAAGTATAATACCAAGTGGGTTGGCAGCTTCCTGCAAATCAAAAGTTTGGACGAAATGAATTTGTGGGTTAGCATTTTATAATTTTATGGGGTATATACAGTGTGTCCATTTAGTGCGTAATTCTTCGATATCTCGAAAGCCATAACCTATAGAGAAAAACTTTGGAGAAAAAACTTTTTCAGTTACTAAAGTTGCTCATTTCAAAAATATTTTCAACAATACTGGGTGTTTTATAAAAGCGGGGCAACTCGAAGAAGAGTTTTTTTAAATGGAACACCCAGTATTGTTCATTCGGAATGAATTTCGCCGAGGTTCACCTTCACATCGCTGTAAAAGAAATTGAAATCGGTTGCGGCGTTGCCAAGTTATGATTGATAAATCAATTTTCACCATTATTGAAGAGTCATGTTGAATTGGGCATGGTATATTCATTTATTCAAATTTTGAAAACATTTTTGGCATACGGTAGAAGCAAGGTCCCACGTATACCAATCCAGTAATTTTGCGACATGTTCTTCAACAGGGTGCTAAATTTTGCATTTAGAATTTTGCAAGATTCAGATGACATTTATCAGAATTTTTCAAATGGAACACCCTGTATTTTATTTCAAAAATGCATTCCGACATCTTTCGCTTTTTTACCGCTGGAAAAAAAATCGAAATCGGTTGCGGCGTTGTCAAGTTATGGATAATTTCCTTATTTTTACTACTATTTCGGGGTTATTTGTACGTCATAGTTGTTTCATTTATTTTTATTGTGGAAATATTGCGTTGCTACGGTATTATCAAATTTGTTCATTGACCATTCATATATTTTTCCAAAATAGGAACATTTACAGGCTCTCCATGTTTGAATTTTTTTCGAATATTTGTGTAATGACCTGTCAAACATCGCCACAATCAAAATATCTTGGATTGATTCGGAATTTTGCTGAATTCCCTTCCCCTTCAAGTTAAATGGAGATTGGGATTGTGGGAATAACGACAATGAAAATGGCCGTATATTCAAAGAATTGTCCTAATTTTCGCAATCCGCATCTTCATTGTTTGTATTGTAGAAGTTGTTTCAAAGACAGCCGTTGCTTTTGGCATGTTTGTTCGTTTCACATATTATTTAAATCATAACTAACAAGATTACGGAATATTTCAAATTTGAACGATGCACATATCGCAAAAATACCTGATGATCTATGTAGAACCTCGAATGTCATGTGGCAAGCAATATTCCCACACTCAAATCAAATAAAGGAACCATCATGACGTACAAATTACCCCAAAATAGTAGTAAAAATAAGGAAATTACTCATAACTTCAAAACGCCGCAACCAATTTTGATTTTTTCTTCAGCGATAAAAAGGCGAAATCTGTGATGAAAAATACAGGGTGTTCCATTTGAAAAATTCTTATGATCGTCGTCTGAATCTTACAATATTCAGAATGTAAATGTTTGCACCCTGTAAAGGATTATCTCGCAAGATTACTGGATTGGTGTACGTGAGACCTTGCTACTACTGTATGCCAAAAATATTTTCGAAATTTCAATAAATAAATATACCATACCCAATTGAACATGACCCTTCAATAGTAGTAAACATGGGTTTATCAATTATAACTTGGCAACGCCGCAACCGAATTGAATTTTTTTCACAGCAATGTAGAACTGAACCTTAGCAGAATAAATTTTGAATGAACAATACTGGGTGTTCCATTTAAAAAAACTCGTCTTCGAGTTGCCCCGCATTTATAAAACACCAAGTATTGTAGGAAATATTTCTGAAATGAGCAACTTTAATAACTGAGAAAGTTTCTTCTCCAAAGTTTTTCTCTTGTGATGATTGATTTCGAGATATCGAAGAATTACGCACTAAATGGACACACTGTATAGGCGATTCAGAAGAAGCGATACACCCTCTTACAGATATTCAAGTAACTGACGCATTGAATGTTTTTTTACATTCAAGTATCCATGTATTTTATTGAAAGTATAGTGGTCATTGTGATATTTTTCGAGTTCGACTTCTTCAGTAGAGTATCTTGAATAATTATTGCTCGGGTTTCACATGTTATTCATAAAAGTTTTCTCATTGTATTTCACAGAGTTTTTTTTGCATTTTATTGCCAAAAGTGATAAGCTACAGGAGGAATTTGAAAACATTGTTCGATCAAAAACAGTTGAGAACAGTTGAGAACAATTCAGTGCCATAGCCGTGAAAAAATTTGTGTTTTCGAATCAAACATAGAGTAACGGTTAAGAAATGGTTTTCTTGGTTTAGCAAATATATCATTGATGAATCTAAATCAGTCAGTTCAGTATGAATGCACATCAGAGATTCTATTTCACAATATTTCTTCTGCACACAAACGGGTGTGATTTCTATCTACAATATAGCCATTATAAATCAGGAGCCACCATCCCATCAACCCTACATATCACCCCCTCATCATTCTTTGATGGAGTGACTTACCTTGTAGTACAGGGCTAGTTTTATTAATGTGAACCCCCCTCTATCTTTTTTGTTTTCCACCTATTAAAAAAATTACAATGCTGATTCTCTACAATATTTTGCAGATTTCACTCATTTTGACAATGATGCAATATCTATTCAAATATACAGGGTGTACAGAAATAATTATTTTTTTCGAATGGAATGCCCTGTATATTTCGATGAATTTGAATTCCCTAAATCATCCTGATTTCAAACATATATATAGAAGGATTTTCATCTATAAAAATATACAGCGCATTCTATATAAAAAAATCAATATATTTCTGTATACCCTGTATTTTTGAAGAGATATTGCAACACTCTCTCAATATGATCGAAACCATTAATAAAACTAGCCCTGTACCTCATTGGATAGGTAATCTAATCAGGATTTCAGCTATGCAATTTTCAGGTCAAATTTATCAAAGTAGAGTTCCGATTTGTGCACTTGGGAAGAATGAAACTTATTCACTGTTTTTTATCTATAAGAGCGCACAGAAGTAAATTCTTATTATATTCAGGAAACATCGTGTCAATGATGGAAGTAAGATATGGTGTAGGTAATTACTGATGCGCTTTTGTTTCCGAAATTTTACTCGACCTCTCGAGAACATCGACAGCAATGGTTCCGTCGATCTTCTAATAGATGGCGACATTGCACAATTATGACATCTGTCAGTTTTGAAATTGTCGCAGATTTTTCGAAATCAGAGTTGAATAATCCCACTGTTACATATGTTCCGCGTATCTGAAATGCCATTTCCCATTTTATTTCCACTCGTCACAGCAGCAATAGCAGCATCACCATCTAGCGGGAAAATGTAGAATCAACGTCTTGCTCGTTGTGAGGTAGAGAAATCATAGTAGGCGGTCGAGTGATTTTTCTGAAATTTTCATATCTTACTTCCATCATTATCGTATTATTTCAACTTCTTGTGATTATAAGTTCTTTGGAAAACTTCCATATATATGCGAAGAATTCCTAATCTCTGCCGTTCTATAGTAAAAAATATGTACCTATATGTTTATCTCGTTTTATATATATATACTTGTACACATATATTTATTATATTTTAGTTTCCACTTGTTTTTTATGTCTTGATTGCTTGCTCGTTACTTTAGTCATAGTTCTCTATACTGTACCATTTGGCATTTTTATCGAATACATAAGTAAATGAATAAAAATAAATGAAAAAGTTTTGACTGAAAGTTGTTCAACATATTTGTATGTTGATGAAAAATGAATGCTTTATCAAAGTAAAGAAAGTCGAAAGCACATAAAATGTTCGGGATTATTAATCCACCTATAGTAAAATATCAGGTAACATAGAAAGTCTTTCAATGCATGTCACAGTTTGAAATATATTTTTTGAAATCCGTCTGTATTTCTTGAACACACTAAAACTAACAATCCCAGTTGGCATTCGAAAAATGCTATTTATAGAGCAATAATGAAAAAAAAATACAATGAGTTGTCACAAGACTGAGGCATTAATTCATTTATGACTTGGGGTTATTGTTGATAGTGACTGCCGCATTGATTTTTCGTAACAGTGTACAAATAAACATTTCACCATATGGTGACTTCACAAAAAATCAGAAAATAAACCTGAAAATCACACATTTATGGAGGTATCACAAGGTAGGCCATTCTATTCAAAAATGGTTGGATGTTGAGGGAGTGATAGGAGAGCAAAACGAATATTAGGGATACCACACGATACTTCCAAAGAATATTTTATCACTGTCTTATTTTGGGAGACAAGAAAATGCCTTCTCCCCTTCTCCAACACTGTTGTCGCTCATCGTTTGTCTGAGTTAGGTGGCTCCCGAGTTAATGTGGTTAGCATGACAATTATTGTCATACTCTAGTTGATTTACCTGAGAAAAGTGGAAGAAAATTTTATCTCCTGATTGATTTGAAAAACAAAAATCAATCTTATTACATTGTGTACAGACCTTTTTATGTTCTGCTTGAATGAATTCTCGCTGTATATTATAATTGATACGGGAAACAAAAAAAAATAGAAGTAGAAATTTAGATTGGTACTCACATATGCAATACTCAACGTGAATTTCCCTCTTGTTTCGAAAGTTTGTTCTGGTTTGGCCGTTTCCACACTATATGCTGTGATTTTTCCAGCATGTGATCCAGAAATGATATACTTGTCGTCTGGACTGAAAGCAACTGTCCACAGATCCACCGGTCCAACATCGACATTAGCTATTTTCTCTCCTTTTTCCAAATCCCATATCCTCATACTCGAATCAAGTGAACTTGATGCACACACTGTAAGTATGCATTTATGGTATATTGCGTTCATACATTGTATTCAACCAGATAGTCTGTCAAGAGTAGGAGGTACGACAATAAATATCAGTGAATTTATTCAAGGGTTGTCTCCATTTAATGGAAGTCAATTGTAGCTCCGGCCTAAGGTCAAATGTTGTAGCTAATGAACATACAGATGCATAAAGCACAGTGTTTTATTAAAAAATGTTAAACAAGAGATCTCTAAATGCACTGAAACTATAGACCATTCCTTGATAAACCAAAAAACTGATTATATTGACTATCATGTAGAAGCTTGCTGGTATAGTTATGGAATGCATTCAATATTTCTGTTATACTGAGTGTTTGTTTTATGAATATCCATTTCGTTTTTATTGAATTTTTTCGATGCTTTCGTGTGGAGAACTATTTTTATTGGAGTATATTGATAAATATGGAAATACCGGGTGCTAAGAACGAATGTATTAAAATAATTTTTACAAAAAAAAATTATTGACATTCAACACATTCAATTTAATTTCCAACTTTGACACCCTGTATATCGAATATGAAGGGCTAAAATGAAAAATGGTATTTAGAAACTCATATTGTTTTTGTTCAAGGAATATATGGTCAATGGATAGAGTGGCGGTAGTCATGATCCACCTTCATATCTGGCTTTTTGGAATATCGAAAGGAATATGCTTATTTCAAAACGCAATAGATTCGATTCTCTTCAATTTTAACTCAATATATTGATTGCACATTGAATGTAACGGATTTCATCCCTCAGTGGTCTTCCTCATCCGGTTGAGCCATATCCGCGATACAGCAGTTGAGATTAAAAATTTATTGGAATTTTTGTTTAAATTATTGGTACTTGTAGGTACTGTTTCAATGTATCACTTGTTCACTTAATGGGGAAGTTTTCTTCAAATGAATGTTCATGAAATAAGTTCGGTACTCCTTATTTTCATGTCCACGCTGTACAGAATGGCGATCAATAAAGTCCAAGTCGTTTTTATTCACAATATAAAGCAATATTTGATTTTCAGAGCGACAAACTGTGACGTATATTCTAAATCTAGTCTGAATATAGCTGATGAAGAATATGACTAGCAATTGGCTAACGAATGAAGAACGAATAAAAAAATAATAATAAAAATAGAATATGAAGACAACTATCATGAAAAATATGAAACCAACAAAACAACTATTAACTGAAGACAGGCGTAGGAATAACTGGAGATCAGAAATCGACAGAAGTTGAACTGGTAAACAAAAACATACATAACCACAAAATCAGATCAGCTTTCGCGGTGTACCATTCAGTGTTTTGTGTGGTGTGGACGGGCTCAAAGTATTATGCGCAAGATATAATCTGCTACTTTTCCTAAAAAATAAATCCGTTTTCACTCAATCACTATCGCAGCTGCTTTCGAAAGTTTTTTGCGATAATTGCAACCATACTTTCAAAAATCAAAATGTCAACTAATTTCATGTCAAATAGCTGTCAGCCGATATGTCGCTGCTATGGGAATCATCATTCATCATCTGCATTCATCAAAAACCATATCTACCAAGATTTTCATAGTTACAGTGACAACAACGAAGTGATACTTCCCGGCCTAGTCCGGGAAGTACGTACTCCCCGGACTAAGCTATTTTTTTTAAGAAAAAGCGTCCGGGAAGTGAGCACTTCCGGGCGGTTGCCGAAAAACAAATTCATTTGCTAAAAACTGAATGACAAGTTACGCAAGTGAGAAATCATAGATACTATTGCAAATTATCATAATTTATCTTTATTAGTAATCAACATAATGCTCGACAAAGTAGGATTAAAAAACTCATTATGATAGAACAATTTCCGGAAATCTCGCAGGGACTGCCAAAGGAGGAACAATTGTTGATATTTCAGAAGAGCATCGTCCATGGAAATATCAATAATAACGTGACACACCTTATCGTGCATTGTCATCCAAACTGAACGTGTATACAAAATGTCAGCTCAATCGGTTGAAGATCTCTACTTCAAAATTGAGTTCAAAGATTCCACCCGAACATACATACATACAAACATACAATGCAAGTTAAATAAAAGCTTTTAATAAAATAGAGCCAGATCGCCAACTTGTCTACGGTGTTCCAGAGAAGGGATGAGGGATTTAGCAACAAAAGAGTATTGCAATGGAAACGCAATTCTAAAAATTTATTAATATACGGGGTGTTCCTTTTAAAAATTGAAGTTGCTAGGACTTTTTGATAGAAACGGCAACGTCGCAATTTCGAAAATATTTTAGATCGATAGAACAGGTGATAAAATGTAAGATGCGAAATTTTCAGAAAAATCCTGAGTTGCGTTCTCCATAAACGTCTAACCTACCATCGACCGTGAGTTACCCTTATAATGAATTTATCACTATATTTATCACTTCATATTCATGTTCTATCCTGTTATTGTTTTGATACCATTTGCTCATTCTATTATCAAACTTTTTGAAATGTGTTTCATGAATTTTTATCACATTCTGAACTCCTGTACTAGAGAATCATTCAAACTGAACATTTACCTATTAACCCTTCATCATCAATAATATGCTAAAAAACAATTATTTTCGATAGTGATTAATGTATCACAAACCCTCTTTCCTCGTTGAAGTGACAGCAGTGTTATTGAAAATAGACTCTTCTCTGAACACCTAGAGTAAGGTATGTAAGTATGAAAAGCCTTGATCTAATAAAGGATTCACGTACTCCTATTCTTATTTGAGAAATCAAATCATCTGCTTCAAAATCAGTTTTGGTTATGTCTAAATGTCACTGCTAGTCAAGTAACAGTACTCCAATATGAAAAATCTTATCAAAGTACTCTACTCAGGACCACACATCTTACATTTTCCATTATTGCTAACTGCCACAGAAACCACTCCAAGAGAGTGTCCTTCAAGTTTATGTTTCAGAACCAGCCTGTCATCCTGGAAATCCCATACTTTAACTAAATCGTCTAATCCTCCTGTCACAATATAATCTGTGGGTGGTTCATCAGACATTATTGAATCTCTGAAAATCAAATATAATTAGTTCGTTAATTTCTACAAAAATAAATGGTGCAGTTTTTTTTTTTTTTTTTTTTTTTTTTTTTTTTTTTTTATCGATTGGAGCGCACGAAAGGGAATCCCTATAATGTTCAAAGAACATCGTGCGTTCCTAGGGAGGATAGGGACAGGAGGTAGGTATTGGAATTTTTTTTGAATTTTTGGAGATTATATGTTGTTGGGAATACTTCCACAGGCAATGAATTCCAGAGCCTAGCCGTTCTATGGATGAAGGAGTCTTGATAAAGTGCTGTTCGACATCTTTCGAGGTTGACAACGAAAGGATGTGCTGACTGGGCTTGTCTAGTTCGTCTGATTGGTATTGCTAGTGAAGGGATGATTGCAGAGATTTCCGAAGAACATTTCCCGTGGAAGTATCGATAGAAAAGTGAAAGGTCGCCGACCTTTCTACGGTGTTCCAATGATGTCAAAGAGTGAGTGAGTGTGGCGTCACCCACCAGGCGAATGGCTCTTCTCTGGATAGAATCTAAGAGCATCAGCGTATGTTTTGGTGCTGAACCCCATATGTGGGAACAGTATTCTAGAACAGGCCGTATCTGCGCTTTGTAGATCATGAGAAGCTGTTGAGGTGTAAAGTAGCTTTTCGCACGGAACAAGAATCCGAGTTTTTGTGAAGCAGCTTTTGCGATGGATCTGACATGATTATCCCATGAAAGAGTGTTGCTGATGGAAATACCGAGCATAGATATGGTGGGCTTGGTGGGGATGGTGGAGCCAGACATTACAATATCGGGCATACTGAGTTCCGCCTTTCTAGAGAAAATGCAGGCTTGAGTTTTGGTGGCGTTGAATTCAACTAGGTTGTTCGTTCCCCAGGCTGTGATTTCAGCAAGATCTTCATTGACAGCATTGACCTGCCTGCGCCGTGAGTTCTTAGTTTCCTGGGAAGAAATGGGAATTCTGGAAGAGAACGCAGTATGGAGGGTACTATCATCTGCAAAGCTGTGGATGGGGCAAGTTGTTTGTTAACTTTGTATAATAGTAAATGGTTAATTGGGTATGATCAAGCTCAGGCCCAATGAATAGAATAGATAACAGAGAACATCAACACACAACTAAAGAATCAGATAATATGATGATTATCTTATCTGGGAACTTGAGCATTACACTGTTGCCGGTGCCACAAAATAATTTGGGATTAGATGAAATCTTGATCATAATTAGGAATACTAGGATATTTGTATTGGTACTGAAGCATCTTGCAAGTTTATAAGTATTCAATAAGTGGTTATTAGGGACCAGGTCGAACCATTGTCTTCTGTGAATGGAAATACTATTGTCATTGGTCATATTGAATCTCATAAGGTAATTTCTAGTTACAAATCTGGCAGCGTCAAAATATGTGGTCCTACTTTTTATGCGGTAGCCAGAATTCGGTTCATGACGTCATCGAACCTGGCGTTTTTCGGAGTCGCCGAATTCAATTATTCAAATAAAATTGAGATGATTGATCGTATCTGACATTCTCGTCGCAATTGAGATAATTATATTTGTCGTATCTCGAAACACTCATGCATCTTCTGGTATGGTTTCAAAGTCGTAGCGGCAAAAATAAGAGCTCAAATCATGTTTCAAATTTGTCATATCTGCAATGTTTCAACACTTCATCGAGCTCAGATGTCGTATCTGATATTTACCAGGAGTTCAAATAATGTCGTATCGGACATTAGGTTGAGCAAATTTGTCGTATCTACAAGGAAAGTAAGACTTACAACAATTTTTGTCAAAAAAAGTAATTCAACAATGACATGCACATGATATAATTCATGATATCGAAAAAAGCTCTCATCATGCAGATTATTATGAGTTTCTAATTAAAATCATGGATGATAGTATATTGACTGAAACAGAAAAACCGCAATATCTCAGAATGCAAAATTTGTCAGATAGGACCTTTTTGCTTAGCAAGGCAGTATAGGTACAATAGGTCTGTGCTCGGGTATGTAGCATTAATTCAACTAGTGTGTACAACCCCATTACTTGGACACATCATCATTTGAAAATGATGTTTTGGCAGTTTTTACCAAAATTGGAAAAAATCACCTATATTTGATCGCCCGTAAAAACTTTCCTACGGTACCGATTCCGTATTCTTACCTCTCCATCGACGGAGAATTTTGTCTTCCTAAATTCAGTATATGGTGGCCTTTCACGTAGGATTGGTCGTTTCCGAGATATAAGTGGAAAATTCTAACAAGTCCGAAAATATCGAGGTTTTTTGGCTACCAACAATTTTCCACAACCTCCTTGAGGTCGAAAACTTGGATTTGACATCACCAAACATGTTCAAACAACCAACTCAAATTTCATCAACTTCTGAATTTTTCGTCGTGACATTTCTTCTCCGCGACCTGCCGACTGGACTAATATAACATGAATTCTTGATGATACTCAACCACCACACTGTTGGACCATTGTCGATCTAAATGAAAAAGCTAGTAAGTATGTAATGTCAGTGGCACTATATACTCGATCAACTCTACTTTTCCAGCAAAAAGGTCCAACAATCAACAAGCAAAAAGATCCAACAATCAACAGTCCACAAATGGAGATGGCGCTACCAGAAGTAATGAAAGCTGTGCCAGGAGTAGTTTTCTAACAGTGAACAATGACGTGAACATTGAAAACCATCCCTAAACAATGTGTTAATCTAGGTGGGGAATGATTCTTTTTGTGTAAAAACTTTACAAACGATAAGATTTTCACAAAATTCTCAAACACACGACATGTTTCGCTAATACAGTAGCTTCGCCAGGTGATATACTGGTACAATGAACTGACATGTTTCGCTAACACAGTAGCTTCGTCAGGTGATATACTGGTACAATGACCTGAACTAACGTTGGCTTGCTTAACTTTTATATATCCTACTTTCCCAACCTGAAGGATTAGTTACCTGTGGACAGGTACGATAAACCTCCATTTTCGGAAATTTGGCACAATATCTATATTAAAATATGGTATACCGGATTAACTTGAAAGAGTTGATATATATATTATTACTTACTAAGAAAAGAAATTCAACAGTGGTGAACTATTGAGGTCTAATTGATCATTAAGTAAAATTTCAAAATTTTTGAGTTTGTTGATTTCTAATGATTCAAAATGATTGAGTTTTAGTCCTTTATTTTCTACGTGCATAGTTTTGATGATAATTTTCGAAATTCAGAATGTTTGTAAGTGTATGAAGGTATTTGTTTTTCGATATTATTTTGTAATTCTAATTTCATCTAAGTAGAAATATATCTTATGTATCTGTGGGGTTCATTATGTTTTGAAATTTTTTGTACTGAATTTGTTAATTTATTCTAAAAATTGAATGTAGACATTGAAAAAATGTGTGTTTTACTGTTAGTACTGTGTAGGTATTATGATAAATAATTTCTGTAATACTTTGAAGCTCGCTTTGAAGATTATGATTCCTTTGTGAAAATTTGGAAATTCAAGATGACGGAAGAGTTTTGTAATTATACTTCGATTCAATTCAACATTGGTATTTAAAGATTTTCGGAATCTGGGATTATGATTCTTTCCTGAAAATCAGGAAATTCAAGATGACGGATCCAATATAGCGGACGAGTTTTGTAATTATGATTCGATTTTAGTGAAAATTGGTATCTGGGGATTTTCGAGGTCGGGGATTATGATTCCTTCGTCAAAATTGAAAATCCAAGATGGCTGATCGAATGTGATTTTTACACAGAGTGTTTCATAATAGGACTTCAGGGTGCGATAGCTCATCCAAAAACATGAAAAAAAGTTTTTATCAACTAACCCTCTAAAATGCACTATTTTCGAGATACAGGGCGTTGAAATTTCAAAAAGAAAATAGTTTTTTGCCAATATCTCTGGATCCTTTCATCTCAGAGAAAACAGCTTTGTACGCATTTTTTACTCATAATAAGCTTTATTTTGTGCAGAATTTATTAATTTTCAAGTCATAATTGCTGAAGAGTTTGAAGGGATAGTGGGTGTTCTTCTCCCCAACTTCTACGCCACTGGAAGTACAGTTTTGAGCCACCCACATGAAGCTCCAATGTTTTTTACACAAAATGGTACTCTGGGTCATAAGCTCTAAAGTTGAAAAAATTATATTGAGTGGAAAAACATGGCCAATTTTTTGAAATAAATTTCATTTTACTAATCGAACAAAATTTAGTTTTAAACGTTGAAACGAGTTACAAAACCAAAAGTCATAATTGCAAAATAAAAAAAAAACAATAATACATCACACAAAAAGTCAAATTAATTGTGGAAATGTCCGCCATTAGCTTTGATGCACGCGGCAAAAAAAAATTATTATTGAACATAAAGGTAGATTTTTCTCAAAAACGGTCAACTTTGGAGCTTTTGACCAAGATTACATTTTTTAAATGCTGTCTGTAGGTTGAATGAATAAAATATCAATATTATTTCAATATATGTGTAGTGAGGACAAATCAAATGATTTGCCCCAAAATGTCACTGTGTTCAAAGAATTTTCCTATCAGAAAGCATAAAAGAAAAATTCACTAGCTTGTCAGTGACAATTTTATTGAAAAAGATTTGGAGAAGAGAAATAAAGGTATATAGAAAAAATATCGACTTTTTACTTATCTTTGGACGTTTCAGGAACAAATCTGCACCCTTTTTCAACATAAAAAATGGATTTTTGTATGGCAAATTCGTATTTTTCTGGACACTTCTCAGTTCTCAGTGACAATTGGTGACGTTGAAAACGGGAGCAGATTCGTTCCCGAAACGTCCAAAGATAAGTAAAAAGTCGATATTTTTTCAATATACCTTTATTTCTCTTCTCTAAACCTTTTTCAAAACTGTCACTGACACGCTAGTGAATTTTTCTGTTAGGCTATCTGATAAGAAAATTCTTCAAACACAGTGACATTTTGGGGCAAATCATCTGATTTGTCCTTACCACATATATATTGAAATAATATTGATATTTTATTTTATAGAGACCAGGAAAGAAAATCCCAAATAATCTGGAATAATGAATCACATTTTTTGTTTGTTTGGGCGGCTCAAATCTATTTTTTCTATAGTAGCATAGAAGTTGGGGAGATTAACACCCACTAGCCCTTTTAAATGTTCACCAATTATGACATAAAAATAAATAAATTCCCCACAAAACATAGCTTATTTTGAGTAGAAAATGCTTACAAAAGCTGTTTTTATCACTGAAAACAATTGTTTTTACTGCAAATAATTTGAATATATGAAAGAAAATAAGCAGCCCCTACCTTTCTGCTTGGCTTGGATGCAAAAAGCATGGTACCAAAAAGTTCAAACAGTCATTTTTTCATCATAGCACTGAACAAAGTTTCAGGAAGTTGCAATTGCTACTCAAATAGATTTCTCAGTATTCCTGAATAGTCCTGTGAGGAAATTGTTTAAGAACATATGGTTTCAGTATGTATAAACACAAAAATGTAATCAAATTCTGATACAACATACAGTGTGCACCATATCTAAGGAATAAATTCACTTTTTACATTATTAGCCATATTCAAGAAATACCCTGAAACAGGTCACTTGTTTTTGAAAAAACACTTTGTGACATCCACCAAAATTTTTATAAATGTAATAGGTAGTTGAGTGATACATCATTTCGAAGTGTATTCAATTGTCTATACAGCCATATCACTCAAATGAGACATTGCTAGAACTCTTGGCTTATTGTATGAAAATAATACTTTTTTCTTCTGCAAGTTCAAGCATACCATTTTTTACTCTACTTTCACATCTGACAAACAACAGATGATGAATAAACCAGAAAAAACATCAAATATACAGTGAATAGTATTATGTGTTACCTTTTAACATTCTGAAAATTGTTTTTTGTTTTTCATGAGGCATGAATAGAATTCAAAGAGATTAATATGCCTGTGTATCAGAATGAGGTATCACCCAACCCCCTATTTCATTTTAAACAATTGGAAGGGTGGTTGTCATGATGAGGGGGTGAAGGAGGGGGAATTTTTTTCATGTCACAGAGTGTCTTTTCAAAAACATGAATTAATGTGCTTTAGGGTTTTTCTTCAAAATGGCCAATAATGTAGAAAATGAATTTATCATTTACATATGGTATACACTGTATGAATAATGAATTTCCGATTTTGAGAACTGGTTGTTCTTCTAATATCACATTTGGGATGCAAAGAAAATGAACATCAAGCACTTTCCAAAACCATGAAAGAGTGATGAATGCCACCCACATATTTTCAATTCCATAATTTCCATATCCTATTTGATTTCCTACACATCAGTAAACGTCAGGTATACCTACTACTCACCTAGATTTTTCATCATCAGCTTGATTGTCTCCTTCAGATTTTTTCTTTTTTTCTGGACAAAATCTTCCCCATGCACAACTCCAAATACTTTCATCATGAGCATTCTCTTTTTTATGGAGTACAGAATACTGAAATGGAACGAAAAAATTGTTCAGGTACCTACCTACTTACTAACAATTTTTTCTCATAGCATTTCCAGACTTTCAATTAATAATTAAAATTGACTTTCTTACCATTGTATATGGGAGAGAATTTTCAACTTGAAAAGTAGATCCACTAGTCAGAACCACATTAAACTTCAGACTTGCAGAATGCAGACTCCCAAACAACTTTTGAACTGGAATTCTAAACTTCCCACCACAGTTTCCCACCAAGCTTTTCAGCTTCGTTCTTATATAAGTAGACTAAAAAAATAACATTCAAGAGGGTACGAACTATAAACTAAGCGACTGTAAGCTGTTAAACTAAAAACTATCACCTAAACCGCATAACCCATAAATCAAATCAAAAACAAAAACTATAACCTATTCATTAGCAAAGTGAAGTTGTCTGGTTGGCGTGTTTTTTGGTGGAAAGTGAGGCACGCGTGAAGTTGGCGGGTCAAGTCAGCATCTAACAACATTTGAACATTTCCGAGGGCTGCGGACGGTCCAGTAGCGTACCATCATATTATTGTTTTACGAGTGACGAAAGTAAAATGTTTTGAAGCGAGAGAACAGTTTACCAGTCGAGGCGATGACAAGGCTGGTAAGATATTGACGAATCTCAAAAAATATTTTCGACGAGTGAAGGTATAATAAGTTTGATAGAATTGAGTCTGAATTTTTATTTTTTGAAATTTTTTTCGATTGTTTCTGCACTTGGACGTTGAGTTCATGATATATTTCATCTTCAATTCTATGTGTGGTGTGAATAAAGTATAATTTATCCAAAGTTAATTTCTCGACGTCACATCGAGCAAGACGTTAATTCGATGCCCAAGTAGCAAAAACGTTAGGACGACGTGTTTGAAAAAGTTACGCAACCAAACATAAGTCGCGTTGCATCCTTTACATAACGTTGTCACGACCCTCGTTTACACCAATTTGGTCAATAATTTTTGGGTTTGTGAAACGTATCATTATCATTACTTTCAGACAACTATTATGGCATGTTAATAACAAAATGTTTTATTCTCGAATGATCAAGATGCCATATTCATATTTCCATAAGATAACGATTCGAAACAGAAATCAACAACGCATTCAATTCAACTGTCTGATATACCGATGATGTTGTATGCTGGAAAATACGCACGCCTTTCATTCGTTGCAAATTTTTCCAAACTCATACTTGATTTGAGAAAAAAAAAACTAAAAATTGATGGAAAATGTTCAAAGTTGATATTGATTCAAACGCGAAATAAACGGACTACGAAAAGGATTTTACGAAAGATACATTTTTTAGCGAGAAGGTTGATTTAGGCCGAATAAGGTTAGATTGTTTAGAAGAAGGAGTCTTTTTTCTTATGCAGGATATTTTTCCACAATCCTGAAAAGAGTACTATGGAAGTATTTACTGTTGAGGCCGATAGTTGGCCATTTCAATGATGTTTTTTTTTCAGGATTGACCATGAGCGAAGTTCTTGACTGAAAGTTTCCTTTATACTTCCTACCAATAATCATTATTATTGTTTCACGCTGGTTTAACTGGAACGTATGTTTCGCGCTGTAACGTTCCCACACCGCAATGATTATTTGATGCTTCCTGTCTCTAGACGCTAGTCCAGGACCCTGTATGTATTTCCATACTACGCTTCAGCGCGCTTTCGGATCTCCATAATCGATTAATTCCGATTGGTCTATGTCTATACAATGATGAAAATAAGTAGATGGTGCGCGTAGTCGGCCATTTTTACGTATGGAAAACTTAAGAAAAATCACTCGACTGCCTACTATGATTTCTCTACGTCACATCGAGCCAGACGTTGATTCTACATTTTTCCGCTAGATGGTGATGCTGTTATTGTTGCTGTGACGAGTGGAAATAAAATGGCATTTTAGGTACGCGGAACATAATGAAAAAGTGGGAATATTTAACACTGAATTCGAAAAATCTGCGGTTATTTGAAAAATTGACCGATGTCAGAATTTTGCAATGTCGCCATCTATCCGAAAACAGCTAAAAACATTGTTCACGGGACTCTCCGGAGGTCGAGCAGAATTTCTGAAACAAACCAAGTCTATACAAGATTCTAGATACTAGATGAATGTCTCTCGCAAGTAATTCAATTAGTAGCATGCTGATGTGTTGCTTTTTGTTGTGATGAACAAACCAATATACGATATCTCTATTTTTTTCATAGTTAGAACTTTCGAATAGCGCGATAGCTCAGTCAGAGATGAGTTCTGGCTCAGTGGTCTGTGTATCTGACTCTCAAGGCGGTGGCTCGCGCTCACATCCCTGCGCGGTGTTAATTTTTTTATTTTTTTTTTCATTTTTGTCTCACAATCTTTCGAAAGATATACTTTCCAGAAAAAGGATCATTTAGGAGGAGTTCTGTTGAGAGAAGTCGCATTTTTTCATGCAGAAACTGTATTTTATTTCCTCATACTTATTACCTACTGTTTTTCTCTAATTATAATTTTGAGAAAAATATTTTTTTCAGGAAAATAGTTCATTCAGCCGAGTTAGGTCAAAATTATTTCCTTATCATGCAGAAATGATATTTTCCTTACTCATAATACCTTGACTATATTCGAAATTCAACTGACAGTAATGAATCTGATTTTTCATTCCGAATTCATAAAAATTCACTGAAAGTTATAACATGCCGGTTTAGTTCAAGTGTGAGTTAGAACCGGTTCATTTCGGGGGTAACAAATTTCCAATAGAGCTGAGAAAATAGAATGTCTTTCCCATCTGTTCCTGTCTTCAGTGTTCCAACATTGAATAATGAACATTTCAAGTTGGCATTACTGGAAATGAGATTTTTCCCATTTCCAATGTCACCAACCTAAATTTTCCATCATTTCATGTTGGAACACTGAAGACAAGGGCAGATGAGGGATATTTCATTCACATTCCCCGTTTATCCCGGTTGTTCATTGACCCGGTTAGAGTATTTGAGTGAAGGTGGTGGGGGGCAACTACGTTATAATGACGTCAACATTAACTATTTTTGAATTTCTATTTCCTTCACTTCACCCACTATCACAGTTTTCCCATGTATCTTTACTCCGACATCCGATCCATTCACTTTCAATTTGAATGTTCTCATTATAATATCCCCCATTTTTCACATTCATCATTTGTAAACAAATATTCAAGTTCAACTTTACCAACTATGGATTTGGTAAACCCTAGGCCCCTAGGGCAGGTAGGTAAGGTCCTTGTTCTCAGTCCTTGATTGGCTTGATTAGGTAAGGTGTAACCGTGAATGAAATATCCCTATGGGGAAGACATTTTTTTCTATTTTAACTCCAGCTGACCTGCTGTTGACCTCAAGATTTTTCGGAGCACGGCAGCATGCTACTAATTGAATGACTAGCGAGAGACGTTTATCTATGATGCGTGCTAACGGTAAATATGCATTGATGTCATAGAACCACAGACTCAGATTTTAATGCTTCAAGTGTTTGAGCCAGTTTGGGGCGTTTGAGGCAGAGTTGCCGTTTTTAGTACTATTGTACTCTTCTAGTACATTTCATTCACATCTAGTACGTCAATACAGTTAACACTAATCTAGTACAAAAACAAGAACTGGGATAGCCCAAGGTCCCTACAAGGTGGATTATATGGTTTATATCTATCCACCTTTGCCCAAGCTCAAGCTATGATTGCATACAAAACAATTATCATTTGGAGAAGATATGTTATAATTGGAATCCTAATGGAGCCCTCATTGATAAAAAGTCCATAATTTCCGATTCAACGAAGAAACAATGGGCTGTTATGTTATTGATGAATTAATTCGACTTTGAAGTTTGAGTCATCTATTTTATCTTATTGATATAGTATGATAGTATTTCTGATCTGTTCCTTATCATCTCTTATTTTTGACTTCTATTTGTTATAATTGTTTCACGGCCTATGTTTTTCAGAGGTGTTTCAATGTGTTGTACCTATGTGTTGTACATCATCATTTTGAATTTTCATAAATGAATATGAAGTTTTTCATCAAATGTGTGAAACTTAAATTTTGGAGTATTATTTTCTCAATTTAGTACGATATACTTGAATTTAGTACAATTTCGGAATGATTTCTAGTACAAATTGAAATTCTGAAATGACAACACTGGTTTGAGGTTATGTTGAATTGTTTATTTTTGTTGAAAGGAATTTTATCTTTAGGATATTTAGGACTATTTCTACAAAACTATAAAATTATGTCCGCCACATTTAAAAATGCGAAGAAAAAGTTATCACAACCAGAGCTCAGGAAAATTATGAATGATCATAAAAGCAAACCCAAAGATGTGAAGAAAATTGATTCTCCATTAGCAAAATATCCTTTTTAAATAATTCAAACAATTTCCTTGATTAATGCAAATAAACCTTTCAATACATAGGTAGGTTCCTATCTATTACATGTGTGATAAAGTTTTGATTTTATGTAGGGTAGAACTAGGTTTACAGATCAATATTTTTTACATGAGTCAGCAAGGGTGTTAGATAATTAGCTGAGTAATTTCTCAGGTAATTTCTCATGTGTAGATGTAGATAAGCACGACTTGCATATATGCCTTAACACAGTGTACATATAATGAACAGGGACAGTTGATCTGTGTCTTGTGTCAATCTGTTGTGAGGTCAGAAGCTGTTTGGACAGTTCACATAAATGCAAAACAACATAAACAGAATGTTGAAATGGCCAAAAAGTTGAAGGAAAGGACAAACAACTTCACAAAACCACTAAAGAGACCATTAACACCACCTCTACCTGAAAGACCAGACAAAAAGATAAAAGGAATCCTGAAAAATGGTACATCAAATACTACTGAAGGGAAATCACCTACAAATCCTGCTACAAATGGAAACGATAAAACATTGCCAGATGACTTTTTTGATTCAAAAATGAAAAATGGTATACCACCAAGTAAAAAGAATGAGGACAAAGAAACTGAAACTGAAGGAGTGCAAGAAGCTGAGGATGCTTTACCAGAAGGATTTTTTGATGACCCCAAATTGGATGCAAAGGTAGCTGGTCTGTTAATAGAAATAACCAGATAACTAACTTGTTATTGATTCACTTATACAGGGTGTATCTGAATAACACAAAAAAAATTAGTGATGATTCTGTGATGAAGATTGAAGTGGGTGTTTGGTATACATTTTTTTTATAAACCTCTTCCTGAAAAAGTTGAATTTAAGTGATGATTCTGTGATGAAAATTGAGGTGCGTGCTTGGTATAGATTTCTTAAAAAAACCTCTTCCTGGAAAAGTTACACCCTTCTGAAAAAAAAAAAAAAAAATGTACTTCTTTTTTATTTCCCCTGTTTATTGAGCTAAAGACAGGCAAGTTGATAAGTATTATTTGTCAATAAAATTACACATTTGTGATGTTATCAACCCTGAAGATATTTTTTTCTACATTTTGTCTTACAACTTTTCTTTGACAATATAGTTCCTTTCCAAGAAACATGGCAGATGCTCAAGTTTTTGAAAAAACTTTGTAAGAAAATATACTTTATATACTTCAGAGTTGAAAAAATTTCAAAATGTGTAGTTTTATTGAAAAATAATGTTCACCTAGTTTTGTCCCTTCAGCTTTATATACAGGCAAAATGAATAAGAAAAATCTTTTTCTCTGTTGGTCATCTTAACTTTGGTAACTTCTCCCAGGAGAGGTTCATCCAGAATTGTTATACCTCATTTATCCCAAATACCCACCTTCATTTTCATCACAGAATCATCCCTTGAATTTATCCAATGTTATTTAGATACACCCTGTATACAGGGTGTTTTAAAATTCAATATCTAGATGTGACTTTTTTTCCATAAACATGTGTCCGCAAACGCTTTCTACCGATCTATAGGGTGATAAAGTTTCATGATTTTTCAATTCCTTTCTCTTTCAGTTTTCAAATATACAGATCAAATTTGAAACAGAAGTTGCCTTTTAGGGTTCACATCTTTCAGTAGATTCCTGTAGATTTGTACAATTACTTGGCATACTGTATGATACTGAACCCTAAAATGTAACCTGTGACATAACCTTTTTCACATTTGATCTGAATATCTCAAAAACTGAAAGTGCTACAAGAAAAAACTAAATAATCTCAAAACTTCGAGACTCTGTAGATTTGTAAGAAAGCGTTTGCTTTGCATTTACATAAGTCTTAATTTATCCTGAAGAATAGGCTGCTGAAATCTTGATACAGAATTTTGAAGTACTTTGTATAACACCTAATTCAATTCAAAATTTGTTTATGCATTGACAGTCAATTATCCAATGTTGAATTTCCTTCACAATGCTAGATTAATTACTCCATTAATTCTTCCCAAGCTATATGGTGTACTGAGCTCTCTACAGAGCTACATAGATTAGTTCTTGAAAAACGGAACACATAAAATATTTAGTATTTAAAATTGTTCAACATTGTAAAACAACCTACTCATATACCACTAGTACCTTGATTGCTATAAATACAAAATATTGAAATATTATGTTTTAATAATGTGGGTTGGATCAAGGTTGCCTTCTTCAGAATTGGGTTCATGTAGTACCTGCAGTAAGCCACAATAGGCACCAACTTTGAGGAAGAAATATTTTGTTAAGAAGGTTTTATACCATGAACTCATATTTAGTATACTTCCCCTACTTAAGATGGCTATAATGACTAGTTAAATAGAAAATTTCGATGAAAATTTAGCAATTCATCCTAGAAATTTGCCGGTCATCCAACAAAAAATCCCACCCTTATATTTTTGAAATGTTTGTCTATGGAAACATTTTCAAAAAATATGATAGTTGTTAGCTTGTCATTGGATGGTTGAAGATGAATTTTGGAAAAACAAATTTGTTAATTCCGATTTACTGGTAAATTGTATCCTATGAAATCTCGATACTGACTAGCTGGTTTCGTTGCTCTCGAGAAAGCAACAAATCCCATAATATAAACACAGATCAGCAGTTCTTCAGAGTATGAACGACTACATCACCCAGGCGGAGTCAGTGTCGGGTGCAAGGTGCTGACACGGGATTTAATCATCTGATGGTGCTTTCTGCCTGAGCCAAAGTTAAAGAACCTAAGTTTGTTTTTTTTATTTCTATATTAACATAAGCTGAGGGACCTAAATTAATTTTTAAGATTGTTTCATGCCTCAATTTCAGTTGAGGGAACATGTTATATAGTTGGTTTTTGCCTCGTCACGTTGAGAGACCATACGATACATTTTTTGTACCTTAACGTCAGTTAGGTGATCTTATTGTACAGGTTTGTATTTGCCTCATTACCTTGAGGGATCATACAATACCATTTTTTTGCCTCAACGTTAGTCAAGGGACCTTGATTAACAGTCAAATTTGTTTTTTGACAACCTTATTTGAGGGATCTATTTCTACAGGTTTGTATTTGCCTCATCACTTCGAGTGACCATACGATACATCTCTTTTGCCTTAACGTTAGTTAAGGAAAGTGTTTTTTTTATCAGAGACTCTAACGTTTCTTTTCTAGAGGTCGATGTGCCTTCAGGTCGTTTTATCGACCCGATTTCTGCAGTCTGCTCTCTAGAGAGAATCTTGTGAATTCTTGTACTGCGAGGTATGTCAGATATTCTCTCACAGAACTTCCTTCAAGATTCTCGTTTTGCCTTTCTGATTTCTTTATTGTACTTTGTTAGAGTAGTTCTATAAAGCTCCCAGAATAATCATCGAATTTCTTTTCTTAACTTGTCAAAAAATTTGGAGCCAGATGGTGGGTCATTAACGACGCCACCCTCTCCTCCCCAGACGTCGACGCTTGGGTTGACCCTATTGACGAAGATTTGACACCTTCCGTCACTGCAGAATCAGCTGATTTCTCAGGTCCCTTTGACGAGACGATGACCGTCTTCGTTTTTGGGGTGCCACGTCTAGCTTCTTTCCTATAATTTTCCTCGACGAGACGTTACCCGTCTTCGTTCGGAAACCCGATGATGATTTCCCAGCTTTGGGCTTGCTGGGATTATTTGTCCTTGCAAGCGGTGGACTCCCCCTATGCTTGGGAGGAGGTTTTACTCCTCTCACATTCACAGGAGGTTTCCCGCTCGGTCCCTGCTCTTATGATCCGTCGGGTTTCTTAAAGGGACCAGTTTGAGCAGCAGCTTGCTGAAAGGTAACTCGAGTTTTAGGGCGGAAGCGAACCTGCCCAAAACCAAAATATGGCCTTAAACCCATCCTCTCCAGCGCAGCCATGGACCCATCGTCGACAGCGAAGGTCCATGTTTGATCCAGGCCTGTGGTTTCCTTGTGAAGAATAGTCCACTCCAAGGTTGCCAGGCCATGGTTCATTCTCCTCAGTCTAGTGAAGACCTGCTTGGATTTGGCAAGCGTTTATCATTCCGCTCGATAATATAAATATTCTACATGTTGTTTCAGGCTAGGAATCAAGAATACAAAGATCCAGTTGAAGAAGAGTGGGAAAGATTCCTGAAAGCAATTAAAGATGCAGATAATGAAAGTAATGCAATTATGGCAGAAGATCAAGAAGAGTCTACAACCGAGAGACAAATAGATGAAATTGATGAGCAAATGAAAAAATTATCAAGGTAATTGAAGATGGTGGTTGCTAGGTCTATTGTTGAATGTGATTTATGACAAACATATGCTCTCAAGTATTCAGTTTTCAGATATATGGTTTTGAAATTCGTTATTGTCGGGAATAATGTAGAAGCATTAAATGAATATACTGTCTGTATGTTAAAGGGATAATGCCAGTCGAGATATAGGGAGATTTTGAATTCATGTGTATTGAAATAACAGATATATATATATATTTTTTGTTTTTGTATATTGCTACTTCAAAGTTGGGAACCAACTCCCCAGAAGTCGAAACTTGTGCGGGGTTAGGAAGAGCGAAACCTACAGCTTATAGTGGAATTCGAACCACTTCTAGGGCATCGAGGTGCTGCCAGGATAACAACCATGAATCACACATTATAAAGAAAAATGCTCAGCCGATAGCCGACAGTGCCTTCGCATCGTGAACGGCTATCTAGCGAATTTCAGCGCATAGACAAACTCGGCCACGGCGCTCTCGTGTAATTTATAAGTAACAATTTAATTCATGTATAAAAATCCCATAGTTTGTTATTATGGCAGCGAAAAATAGTTTTCCTAATCTTGTGTTGTCAAAAAAGTATCTAATCTGTATAAATGTCGCGATTTGGAGTCTTATTTGAGTGGACAAATTGGAAAAAAATCATCAATAGTGTGATTTACGTATTCATTGAATTGTCTTAACAAATTACACTCGAACATTTTTTTGGGGTCGAAGTAAACTTGAATTCGAGCTTTGTTGAATTCAAAAAACTTAACTCAAAAAACTGCCAGAAAATATTACTAGTCCTATAGACTCGTAATTTTTTTCGATTGAAACTTTTTTCGTTTATTTTCCAGGCAACGAAATTCTCATTAAAATATTAAGTTTACTTCAACAAACAAAAGTAAGAAAAAAAAATTATATGCAGAAGTTCAATGCCGCGACATAGGTACTGTATTTTTTTAAACAATATAAAAGTAGCCTCGTGGTTTGTTACGTTTTTTGAGATCACTTTGTTCTCAAGTTCCGCATATTGTCTGTTTTCTAGGTAGAAGATGATAGTACTATCCATACTGCGTTCTCTTCCAGATTTTCCATTTCTTCCCAGGAAACTAAGAAATCACGACGAAGGCAGGTCAACGCTATCAATGAAGAACTTGCTAACATTCACTCAGTATGCCTGATATATCAGTGTCTGGTACCATAATTTTCTCAAAGTGCACTATAACTATGCTCGGTATTTCCATCGGCGATACCCTCTCATGGGCAAATCATGTCAGACTTATCGCAAAAGCTGCTTCTCAGAACCTCGGATTTTTGTTCCGTGTGAAAAGCTACTTTACATGTCAACAGCTCATGACTTACAAAGCACATATACGTCATGTTTTGGAATACTGTTCCTACATATGGAGTATCAGATAAACTGATGGTCTTAGATTACATCCAGAGAGGAACAATTCGCCTGGCGGCCGCACTAATTAATTTTTTGACATCATTGAAACACCATAGAAATGTCGGTGATCTTTCACTTCTGTAGATACTTCCACGGAAAATGTTCTATAGAAATATCTGCTATGTACCAACTCAACAAGCCCAGTCAGCACATCCTTTTGTTGCCAACTTCGAATTATGTTGAACAATTCTCTACCAAAATTTATTCGTCTATGACAGCAAGGCTTTGGAATTCTTTGCAACGGAAAGTATTTCTAAGAATTTGAAATCTCCAAATGTTGAAGGACAGATCCAATACCTACCTTCTCTCCCTATCCTTCCTAGGTATGAACGATGTTTCTCGAACATTATATTGATTCCCTTTCGTGCGCTCAAATGAAAACTTACATGCCAGAAAATTTCGAAAATGGGACATTTAATTATCATCTTTGATAATGACACTGAACGATGAAAGTGAATATTCATTACTTATAAAAACGGAAAATTCGTGACTGGATCTTTTTTCAGAGTATTGGATTTGGAAAAGAAGAAAGAGGAAATAGTAGCAGCTTCCAGTGAACCGAAACAATCTTCTACCAGCGAAGACAATGAGGACGAAAATCTGGATGATTTTGATGAATTTCTGGATTGGAGGGATAAGAAATCCTTTCAATAGTCTCCCAGTACTCAAGCATTTTCCATTACATATGTATATATTTCACAAATTATATTACTATTAATAGAATATTCATTCACGATTTGTTCACAGATGGTTTGTTCAACAGTATACCTATCCCATGAGTAAGTGAACTTAATTCATATTGGCAATATGTATATATTCATAATTTCAAATTGTTCATATTTGTAACACCAGTTCCTGAAGAATATAATCGAACTATACAGGGTATTTTTGAAAATGAGGCATCTTAACAGGATGTAGCACTTGTGAGAATAAATAATTTCACTCACCCAAATGAAAATTACGACATGCTTAAGATATTACTTTCAAATTGGAAAAGAAAATCAGTGCGGTCCTAAGCGCGTGGAACAAAAGTACATTGTTCAATGTATAGTACCTAACTAGTATGATTTGACTGCAATGTAGTACCTAAGTAGTATCAGTCGATTTTATAAAAATAACGCATGTTGACAACAAGAATATATATGAGATGTAGCCGAGGGGTAAATCACTGAGCAAATTCGTGTACACCGGACTGCCATCCATACTCGGACTGCCAAGACTGCCACCGGACTGCCACGGACTGCCACCGGACTGCCACGGACTGCCACCGGACTGCCACGGACTGCCACCGGACTGCCACGGACTGCCACCGGACTGCCACGGACTGCCACCGGACTGCCACGGACTGCCACCGGACTGCCACGGACTGCCACCGAAATGTAATGGACTATCATTCAATTATGTGTTCCAATAAAAATAAAGCTGTTTTTTGGAAATTTCAATTCACCACAAGAACAAAGTTCACGAAAACCGTTCTGACTGAATAAGTACTAGAAAGGCATCCCCGATGGTGATTAACATAGAAGAAATAAATCATCAACCGTGACCTACGATGTGAAGATCTCATTGGAAACCTATGGCATAACAAACTGATCCGGAAACTATAACATTCCTGTATATAACATAACATATCTCGTTAAATCTACATGAAATGAAGATATTTTTTGAGGTGCAATAGGTGAAGTGGAAATACACGTAAATAGTACAGAAATCCGATGTTTTTATTTTTCTGTCGATTCGCCTGAAAATGTTCAGCACAAAATTTTCAAGGTTGAACAATACGAATTTTGAGTGAAAATTTTAAAATTGATATACTTATTTCGTTCATTCCGTTTGGAAGGTCAAATCAGGATTTGTCTTGGTTCGTTAATATCCCGATAAATACGAATTTTGAATTGTATTTGAGGATTTCAGATTCGCCCCGAAATGCCCCAAATGAAAACTATGGGTGTTTAAAGTTTGAGATATCAGAATTCCGAGTTGAATATTCAAATTCAAACGATTTTGTCATTTCCTTATCAATTTGTCAAAAAATCGTGGTTGAAAAATACGCATTTTGAGTCGCATTTGAGAATTCAAGATGGCGTCCCATAAGATGGCGGACGATTTCAATTTCAATGCATTTTCACATCAGGGTGTCCCATGAGAAAAAGTATAACTTTGATACGCCACTCATTTCAGAATCGCCCTGTATAACGCAAAATATTTTATAAATGTACACCATCTCAAAATTTCTTGTTTATCGATCTCAATCAGCAAAGCCGTTATCTCACTCTCCCACAGTATTGGTTCACCCTGTTCACCTATAAATCGTAACGCACTACCCAAAAAAATCCTCGTTGTACATTTTCAGAAAATTTGACCTTTATCGTAAATTCGTGATTCTTATACTTGAAAATTATTGTCAAGAGTATACAGTGTGACCACAAATATTCTTTCCTGATGTAATTGGGTAAGCTTTTATAACACGTGAAAAATATCGTTGACAATTAATTTATACGGTTTTTCAAATTTTGAAAACATTCCAGAAATACTTGAGTTACAGGTCGATACATATATGGTGAATCAGATATGTACAAGGATTAAGGCAGGTATAGATAAACAAATTCTTAAACAGGTACTGCTCCGAGATCTATTTACTTATTGAAATTTTGTGAATTCTTATTGGTTAAATACAGTATAAATACAAAATTGTTAATGAAAAGTAGTATCCTCTCTTATGCAGAAAGAATATTCTCCTTCTTCTTATATATTATCTATATATTAGGTCGAGCTAGGTTAGATTGTTTAGAAAAATTAGTCTCCCTTCTTATCCAGAAAGAATATTTTTCTTCCTCATATTATATATCATGCCGAGTTAGGTTAGGTTGTTTGCAAAAAAAAGTCTCCTTCCTTTTTCGGAAATGATTATATTTTATGTCCTGGAATGAGTTCAAAACATATGAAACTTGATTAAACTACCGTTTTATATGTTCCCTACTTTGCGCGCAATTACAGCATAACCTTTTTGGGCCGTGCGTGCAATTGCACTATGGGATAAGGACGAGGATTAGGACCGAGATTTGGACACACTGTTGAGAATACTGACCGCTGCGCGCAATTGCAGTCCATAATACACAAAATTTGCGTGGGTTTCAACTCTGGAGCTTGAGATCCCCAAGGTGAACTTTTTTTATTCAGGCGATTCGGACAATAAATGACAAAGTTTTCCGTCCCATTGTAGACGCCATCTAGAATTTAAAAACTAACTCGAAAATCATGATTATATACTCCAAGAATATCTGATTTCTTTTCCCCATTATAGGAATTACCTTTCGTGCGCTCCAAGAGATGAAAAAAACTGACGCCTCCCTACAGAAGCCATCTTGTTTTTCAAAATTTGGACTCGGAATTCGAAATTGCCAATCTCGACAACCCCTACGTGTACATTTTCAGGTTAATCAGAGAATAAATAACAAAGTCGCCGCCACCTTGCGAACGCCCTCTTGAATTTTCAAATTTAGAATAATTGTCGGATTACGAGAGAAGAGACGAGAGACCACCAGACTACCACCGGACTACCACCGGACTGCCACCGGACTGCCAAGGACTGCCACCGGACTGCCACGGACTGCCACCGGACTGCCACGGACTGCCACCGGACTGCCACGGACTGCCACCGGACTGCCACGGACTGCCACCGGACTGCCACGGACTGCCACCGGACTGCCAAAAGAATGTACACCGGACTGCCCCAGTGATTTACCCCTCGGATGTAGCACAATGCAAACTTGGTTGCAATGATTGATATAGTCATTATCTGACTTCACTTTCCTGGGGGTCTATTTTCGAGCGTTATTAGTTTACGAATTGAATTCGAACGGTTCGAGAATAGACCCCCTGATATTCAATACGCTTCTCGATAAATAATTGGAAATCGATCGTTCGTCTTTTGGACAGTACTATCGGAAATAAGTTGCTGCTGTCGCATACATTCTTCTACTCCTAGTCATTGCATCCTGTTGCTCCGGTTTTCAAAATGTGATTTTCTCTGTCTCTGGCGACGCAACATTTTCCACTTTTGTCAGCTCAGCCACCCGAGGCTGCCCAGCGATTATTTTCGTATCATTTTCGAAAGCCGTAAATTTCCTTACTCATTTCCAAATAGTGTTTTTTCGGGCACGTCTCTCGGTGACGCAGAATTTTCATTTTTTTTTGTCCGTCCAGCCACCCGAGGCTACCCGGGAGTCGTTCCTGTTATCTTTCAGAGATCAAATAATTCCCCACGTTGATTTCCAAATTGTGATTTTCTGGTACGTTTTTGACTACGCAGAATGTTCCCTTCCGGTCCGTTCTGCCACCCGGGGCAGCCCAACGATTATATCTCTATTTATTTCGAGACCTGACAATTTCCCAACGTCCCGTTCTCAAACAGTGATTTTCTGGTTCGCTTCTGGCGACGCAGAATTTTCACTCTGTCCGCTGAGCTACCCGAGGCTGGCCAACGATTATTTTCGTAACATTTGCCAGAGCAGCAATTTTTAATACGTAATACGTCTCTGGTGATGCAGATTTTCCCTTTTCGTCCGCCCAGTCACCCAAGGCTGCCCAGCGGTTATTCATATTTTCTTCTCGATAATATATAATTTCGCGTAGGTACTCATTTAGAAACAGCGATTTTCTGGTACGTCTCTGGCGACGCAGTATCCTCAATCCCTGTCCGCCCAGCCACCCGAAACTGACCAACGATTAGTTTCGTTATCATTTGCCAGAGCAGTAATTTCGCGTATTCATCTACAATAAACAGTGATTTTCTGGTACATCTCTGACGACGCAGAATTCTCACTCTGTCCGTCCATCAGTCACCCGAGGCTACCCAACAATCAAATCTCTATTTCTCTCGAGATCCAATAGTAATTGTGTTTTTCTGGTACGTCTTTGGCGATGCAGGATTTTTCAATTTAACCCGCACACCTGCCTGGGGCTGCCCAGCTATTATTCCTGTATCAGAGATCAGATAATAAATTTCCCTGGAACATCCTAGTGGTTTTCTGGAACGCCCACGATAGGAAGGTGGGATTCCACCGACGTGTTGCAACAAGTATGACATAAAATCACGTCTTGAAACCTGGAGACGATTTTTGATGCTGCCTAGAGGCCTGTGAGGAAAAGCAAGAAGGAAGATTACACAGTACAAATATTCTATTTTAATTGAGATAAATGAAATTCCCGCCTCTAATATTGTGATCAATTGGAAATACATTCCTTTCTCATTTTAACATCTGCGTATCACTTAATTGTTCTGGAGAATATCAAGTACCTAAACCTGAATCCTGGACGTATGTACTCGTTTGCACTGAGCTAATCCTGCAGCAAATAAATATCACAACCTTCATTATGCTGAAATATGTAAAAATATATAAAAAAATATAAAAATATGTAAAAAAATGTATACATTTTTTACTTCTGGGAACACCCTGTACGTAATGGATCAATCGTTATCTCACAGCGGTTTCGTTGTGCGACTAGTTTTTACTGAATGTCGAGCCCCAGCAATGAATAAAAAAGTTGAGGGTTATTTATAGGGAGACAAATGAAAACTATACTCAGAAATACACCAGAGGCGGATCCAGGCTATGTTTGAGGAGGCATTTCATTGCGGTATCTTCTGAGAC